GAAAGAAAGACTGAGGTTCAGAGATGACCTTTTAAATAGTCATTTACTGGATGCTTTACCCAAAGCATCTTACGGCACACTTATTAGGAAATTCCTCTTAAAGCAAACTACTCTGCACAATAGTGGTTATTTCTCAGCTTTTATTTACAGTCTTCAACTGTTATGTTTACACATTGATAATTCATTTGCATGCTCTTATCTACTAGAGAACTGCAACACACACACACACACACACACACAGGGGTGATATTAACTGCAAATCAATAAATGCACATCTTATTATTAATCATACATTCACATAAACACAGCATCTTTGACCCATAGAACTCCGCAGAACATGCATATACTCCTTATCCACATCTGTTGATTGCTCTGTGCTTCATGGGATTAAGCTTTAGCGTGTTTGCTGAAATGTTACACTGTTCTTCTCAGAACAAGGTTGTTTTGCTTAAATTTTTTCTGTGAATTTATCATAACATTTACAGTACATGGCCAGTATTTATTCTGGTTTAAAAATAAAAATCTTTTTTTTCTATTGTTATACTAATATAATAAAGTAGGTCTTACTGAGGCTGCTAAGTTGGCGTATGATGGCAGAGAGAGTGTTGTTGGTCACACACTCCAGCTCATTGCTGATGGTCTCAGGTACAGCTCCTCTGCACAAGTGCCTGGGCTCAATGTTTCTCTTCACCAGTGGCATGACTTCACCTCAGCACATGTACACGAACAAACCAGCACCTGTAAGGACACACAAACAGGATGACAATTAGACCAAATGTACTCACACCATCCATCGCACATCTTTCTCCATGTCACACTAGACTAACAGACTAATAGACTAAATATATGTACACTACAAATTGGAAGTCCTATTAAAAATCTGTTATATAAATTACATTAACTTGCCTTATATTAAGAACCTATTAATATAAGGCAATGATCATTACATAAAATCATGGGTTCAGCTGTTAAGTGGAAAACCATGAAGACTATGAAGTAGGAGGACCATGAAGAAGAAGAGGAAACAATTATAACTATAGAACGACATCTATTATGGAACTATAGACATTCCACCAACACACAAAAATATCCCAAATTCTTTGTTTTACTATTGTTTTATTAAAACCTAAGAAATACCCTTTGTCAAATGTTTTGCTTAATAAGTGTGCTGTCTTCGAATTAATGGATTGATATTTAAATATTTGCACAAGTGGCTGAAGTGTCCAGTATTTTGGTGGTCATTTTAGTTTTCTTATCAAAATACTCTTTTGCTAGGTTTATATGTGGTCATGAATAAAATTTGTGTTTTGTTTATTTTAATTAAATAGTATCTAACTTGATTATGTTATAAATTGAAATGGCTAAATGGTCAATGGTATCTATTGATATCAAGATTTATTTATTTACTTCCTTAACCTGCAACCCCTTGTTTATTTAAAAATATATATACTTATAATAATATATAATTAATAATATACTTAATAATACACTTACAATTTACTGAAGTGCAGACAGAAAGTAATATTTTGGACAATTAATTTGATGTTAATTGCAATTCAATGTATTAGTTTATAAATTAGTATGATAGATTTATATTATATGCAATTTAGTTAGTCCAATTAGATCTTTTTTTGACCCAATTAAGGAGGATTTTGAAGTGAAGTGCAGGATGCAGGTTCGCAGGGCTGGAGCCTAAATTAAAATATGCTTTAATGTAATTTCTATTACGTCTGTCATATGTTTGAATATATTAGTAATTAGACATTTGTAATGATAAAATATATTAATTTTAAATGTAAAGCTCACTACAGTTAGAATTATAAAGTATTCTTGTTAGTCAATGCATCAAAAGAAGTGCACTTCTTTAAAGCACAACAAAAGATTGAGAAGAATTATTTAAAATGTAGTTTAAAGTAAACTTTTAATTTGACATTACTACAAAGTGCACTTTAAAGGTCTACTTAAGTGTGTTAAAAAGTTATGAAAGTGTCTCTCTTTAAGCACTTAAATGGACAGTTCAACCAACTATAACCCTGTTGAGGTTGAGTAAATGACAAAATGTACATTTTTGGGTGAATTGTCCCTTTAATGGTCTTTTATTCCACTTGTTATTTAATTTCATTAATATTACATTATTTGCCAGTATAGTTAAAATAAAAAAAAGATTTGAAGCACAAGTGCACGTTGAGTACAATTAAGTGCACTTCTTTTTCACAAAGGATCCCCTATACTATTAATACATATATTCTATAAACACCTTTGAACATTAACAGCGTAACTGCAAAGGTTCCACATGTTGTGTTCGTTTCATTCTGTGGCCTACAATCCAGAAACGAGTAAGGTAACTGTGTGGCCTACAATCCAGAAACGAGTAAGGTAACTGTATGTCACCAGAAGATTATACAGGGGGAGGTTGGTGTTCCAGCCTCTCAGGATTAAGTTATTAGACACACACACACACACACACACACACACACACACACACACACACACACACACACACACAAAAAGTCCGCCTCTCTCTTGCACAGAAGTCCAGGTCAATATTTTCAATGTCATTTACATGTAGGGCAGAACTAAATGTTAACATGTTAACAACCACAGCTTGTTGTTTATGAAACAACCTTTCATAAATATGTTAATATTCCTATTAAAATATATGTAACTCAGATTTTTACTTGCATATTTATACTATAAAACAGGGAATATTATAAAGCTATTGATTGTAAGGGAATTATCCATTAACTGGGATATACGGTTTCTTGTATGATTCACTTCTAGTCTCCCCTACAACGTTGCAATTGGACAGACTGGAATACTGGACTTGGCCATTCCAAAATCCTTTATTTCAGAGAGCGAGCACTTTGTCCTTAATGAACTCTCGTGGCCACATTTGTGCAGTTTCTTCCAGAGCTGCCTGTAGATCCTTTGAGGGCACTGTGTGGTTTTTGGAGACTTCATCCCCAAACGAGAACGGTTCTTGGAGAAATTGTGGATTTTAAATTCCTTGCAGCATCATCAGACTCACCAGTGAACTTCTAAGGGTCTCAGGATCCTATTGGCCGGGCCGTCCTTAGCTTATGCGGGGCCCGGTGCGAGGTAGGGAGCGGGGCCCTCCTCGGTCCATTCGTGATCACGTTTGAGGGGTTTCATAAAATGCTTAAACTTATTTTAAAAAAAAAGAAAAAAAAGTCTCTGATTTCAAACATTGAAACACTTTATTATAATATGGTTACGTGTCATTTAAACTTTGTTGTTTTTAAACGAGTTCAAGTAGTTTATATTTATCCAAAGAAAATCATTGTATAAATTGTTGTGAAAATCCAGTTATTTATTTACCACAGTCTGGTCAACGTAAAATTAAGCTGTATAGATCTTAAATAGATCATTTAATAGATATTTACGCTCACTTCCACAAACCTACAAAGCCATTCTACAGCATGGGTTGAATTATGTGATAGTATGTCTATTTCATTGTCCAGTAAAGAACCCGTTCCCTTTAACCACAGGAAATCATATGCAATTAAATATCTAGTTCTACTACTAGTTCTAGATAACTAGATAAATAGTTGTTCTACAATTTATTTACAACTCTTTTTATCAATCCATAAATCAGAAAAAAATTGATTTTTCATCATGTTTTAGGAATAAAGTGTTATATGAAACAGGTCAATGATACATGAAACAATTTCTTGGTAAAACCTTCCGAATATAGATAGAACTGCAGAGTTTAGCTCCAACTTGCCTTAACACACCTGACTGGAAGTTTCTATGCCTAGTAAGAGCTTGATTAGCTGGTTCAGCTGTGTTTAATTGGGGTTGGAGCTAAACTCTGCAGGACACCGGCCCTCCAGGACCGAGTTTGGACAGCCCTGCATTAAATTGTTGGTTGTATGGACTTTCAACAGAATATTTGAAATATCTTCATTTGTGTTCGAAGATTAATGGAAGTCTTATGGGTTTGGAATGACACAAGAGTGAGTAATTGATGAAAGATGTTTTATTTTTGTATGAACCATCATCATTCAACGCAACGCAACTTTAAAATCTCATTTGTACTTCCACATATTCAGGCTTCACACGTGTTGTTGAATGTCTTGTAGAACAGTGTTTTGCAAGTCTCCCTAATCAAGCACAACTAATCAGCTTATTGCTAGAAAGTGTTGTTCATGGAAGAAAGAAATCCATATTGGTTTGCAATGACATGAGGGCGAGTAAATTATCTGTTCTAATTTATTTATTTATTTATGGATGGACTATTTTGTTAAAGGGATAGTTCACCCCAAAATGTAAATTCTGTCATTGATTACTCACCCTCATGTCGTTCCAAACCCATAAGACCTTCGTTCATCTGCGGAACACAAATTAAGATATTTTTGATTAAATGTGAGAGCTCTCAGACCCTGCATAGACAACAACGCAACTGAAATGTTCCCAGGTCCAGAGACGTAGTAAGGACATCTGTAAAACAGTTCATGTGACATCAGTGGCTCAACTTCAGTTTTGCGAAGCTACGAGAATACTTTTTGAGCGCAAAAAAACCCCAAAAATAACAATTTATTCAACAATTCTTCTCCCCCGTGTTACGTCTTCTGCCATTTTAGAGAGTATCACAATGTATACGCATGCTTTCCCCTAAACTTGAACAACACTGATTACACAGATTACGTTCATGGCGCGCTTTCTCTCCCGAACGTAAACAATGCTGATTACGTCCTTGGGTACTCTCCAAAATGGCAGAAGACGTAACTCGGGAGAGAAGAATTGTTGAAAAAAATTTTATTTTTGTTTTCTTTGCGCTCAAAATGTATTCTCGTAGCTTCGCAAAACTGAATTTGAGCCACTGATGTCACATGGACTGTTTTACCAATGTCCTTACTACATTTTTGGACCTGGAAACATTACAGTTGCGTTGCTGTCTATGCAGGGTCTGAGAGCTCTCACATTTCATCAAAAATATCTTAATTTGTGTTCTGAAAATGAACGAAGGTCTTACGGGTTTGGAATGACATGAGGGTGAGTAATTAATGACAGAATTTTCATTTTGGGGTGAACTAAACTTTTAAGAAAGTTTCATTCACTTAACAAAAAAAGTTACTTTTAACTTCTATTTGGACACAGACCAAATTTTAGGGAAGAAAAGAAAAACTGCTGTGTAGTGTTGATCGCACTAGCTAGGTGGATGCATATCTCAATTATGAGCTCTGTGATATACAACAGAGAAAACACACCCTATAACAACCAAAGCTGTTTTTAATCGACCCCTCAGACATGCACAGCACCCCGTCCGATAAGCTCTGTTGTATCGCTATCTGAGGGGTGACCCTCCTCCTCATCCGTACCTTCATCCGAGTCCTCTATGGGGGAGTAGTACTCATCGTATCCCAGCAGGGGCACGTCAGGCTGCGGTGTGTGCGGCAAGCACTGTGCGGAGGTTGTTACTGTAGCGACGGCTGCCTCTGACGTTACTGTGGAGGCGTAAGAGGGAGGCGGGCTGGAGGAGGCAGGGGATGCGGGGTTGGAGGGCCGAAGGAGAGGCGTGCGCTCGGAATCAGCCTCGCTGGTCGCTCCTTCCTCTTCCTCGTCAGCCTCGTGTGGCCCCGACTCTCCGTCGGAATCTGAAGACTCTGAGTATTCTGGGTTGGGACGGGTCACGCGTTGCTTGCACACTGGGCAGGTTTTCTTAGTTTGGGTGAGCCAGGGGTCCACACACCTGCAGTGGTAAGCTGAATAATGGAACAAAAAATAACTATGTTATGGTATTCTGAACAGGGACAAAAAATAGCTATTTTTTCCTTTAAAATGCTATTTCAACAATACATACAGTACTTGTCACAAGTCTGGAAACATTATGATTTTTAAAATATTTTTAATCAAGTCTCTTACACTATCCAAGGAGTGCTCAAAATATAGTAAAACACTAATACTGTGAAATAGTATTACAAATTAAAATAAGTGTGTTTATTAGAATGACTTCTAAAGAATCATGTGACACTGAAGACTGGAGTAACGATGATGAAAATTCAGCTTTTACATTACAGAGATAAATTATATTTTAAACTATAATCAAATAGAAAAGAGTCATTTTAAATTGTAATAATATTCCACATATTTACTGTATTTTTGACTAAATAAATGCTACCATGGTGAGCAGAAAAGACTTCATTAAAAACATTGGAAAATCATAATGTTTCCAAACTTTTCACAAGTACTGTATGAAAGCACTATTTAAATTGAAGATAGTAAATAATACATGCACAACAATTTATGCCATGGATTTTCTATTTATTTTACATAATATTTACTAAAATAATCAGTTTTTCTTTGTGGTTTAAAAATGCCACTTCTTACATAAACATTAAAAGACATTGAGATTTTGTTGTTGTTTGGCAGGAATATTTTTTACACACAGAGATTAGACAATTCTTTGAAGCCATTATTTCAGAGAGCAGGATGGCCTGATATTTATAATATCACACTATTTAATATAAAAATAGTATGCATAGCATATCACATGCATAGCGGATTCTTGCAATGAAATTTATATTTATTTTTATATAATATTTACTCAAATAAGTAGAAATAAATCACTTAAAAATTGTTAATTTAAACAAAAAAAAGACAAGGCAATGCTAATTTTACATTCAGTTCAAAGGAAATATGACATGAATATGGCATTAAATGTTTATTAGAAATAGTCAAAGAATTTGTGTAATTTATATGAGTGCTTTCTGTATGACAATATTTGCACTGAAGAAAATGACAAATATACCGAGTAAGAAAAATGACTTTTTGCACTCATTATTGATGTAGCTTGTGAAATCAGCACTTTTGCCTGCAGTCATTCACTGTTGTTTGCATTTTTTTGAATGTAGGTGAACTCATGGGTGACTATGTAAATTTTAAATTTCCATTAAAAATTATTTTACTTCTGTCAAACAGGCTGCCTGGTTTTATGTGTGAGAAACCTCCAATGTGTCTCTGATCAGGTCCAATCAGCTCTAAATGTTTCAGTTGGCTTTTTCAAAATCAACTAAAAAGAAAGTCAAACTAAAACATGTAATTTCTTGTAATATATGTGCACTTTACCTTTAACAGCCAAATGTTAGATATGTTTAAACTATTAGACAGAAGTGTAAAGGTTCAAACCCAGACGTGAGCAGCTCACTTACCATGGGAACAGGGCAGCACTCTCAGCTTATCTCCCTCTTCATATTCATCAAGGCAGATCGCACACACATCATAATTATCACCTGAGAAAAATATGCAATTATTAAAGTGCTAGATGATCCAGTAGAACAGTCTTGCTCACAATCAGAACCCACTCTGAACTCAGTGATCGGTGAGTTTTCTTTGTTTGACCATGTGGTTTATGCCAGTGTTATTTCAGCATCATTGAGATACTGTTATGTTAATATTTTGAATTAGATGTCATTTTTTGGTAACACTTTACTTGAAGGGGTGTGCATAATACTGACATGACACCTTCATAATCATGACATGACACATGTCATGAATATAAAGGAGGTTTTATGCATGTTTATGACAACTGTCATTAAGTGTCATTCGCTCAGTTATGTCATTTTCTATGTAAATATGACATTATTTGACCTAACCCTAACCTAACCCTACCCCTACCCTTACCCCTAACCATAGCCCATAACAAAGACATCTCAAACAATGTCATATTTGCATTAAAAATTACATAACGGAGCGAATGACACTTAATGACAGTTGTCATAAACATGCATAAAAAAACCTTCATATTCATGACATGTGTCATCTCATGATTATGAAGGTGTCATGTCATGATTATGTAGGTGTCATGTCAGTCTTATGCACACCCCTTCAAGTAAAGTGTAACTCATTTTTTTTTCTTTAATGTTAATTGTAGTTAAAGTTTTAGTAATTTTTCTGTATGTTTTTGTGATTTTATTTGTATTGATTTTAAATGTATATAGTTTTTATTATATTTTATAACACAAAATTCAACTAAATTAAAATGTAAAATGTTGCTATGGAAACTAGCTGAAATGAAATAAGTTTTTAAATATTTTCTTTCAGTTGACATTTTATTTTAAAGTAACAAAAATGATTTTTATGCTTTTAGTTTTAGATAACAATAATAACTCTGGTATATGCTCCTGCACATAATATTTCAGTGCTGTTATCATCTTTAGACCACCCAAACATGATGATTTCATGAAAAAAAAAAAATCACTATATCAATGATTTACAACAAGCAGTTGTGATGAATTTCTCAGACATATCTTCGCCTTGTAACTTCACTATATTTTGGACTTGATTGTCAGTACATATTGCATTTCAGTAAATGTGATAGTTTTTTATTTCATAGCTTTGATCACTTACTACTGGTATTATACTAAAATGATAGAAAATATTAATTAAAGTGGAGTACACTCAGAAAAAAGGTACAAAATATGTCATTAAGACAGCACCTTTTCAAAATATACTAATATACCATTTAGGTACTAAAATATACTTTTTAAAGTAACTTTGAGGTATTAAAATGCACCCTTTATGGGTACATAAGGTACAAAGGTGTACCTTTTGAAAAGGTACTGCCTCAGTGACAGCTTTTGTACCTTTTTTATTTGAGAACTTAAGTGTATACAAATGACATATATCTATCAATGTTCCATTTTGTGTAAGAATGTATGTAGACTATATTATTCTCACCCTTTCTCTGGTATGATAAAGCTGCGCAGTATCTGAGAGGCATAGTAGCTTGTGAACACAGAAGGAACATCGATCTCCTCCGCAATGGTGTCTAAGCGAAAACAAAATGGACAAAAAATGGACTGTATTGCAAATATGATAAAGTATGTAAAAGTCTTACAACAAATGTCTTAAACCCCTTTCAACAGGGGATCAACTGTACTGAAATGAACCACTGCTTATATGTTTATATGTATAGATTTTTTTTCAGTTACCAATAAGACTGTAGTATTCTGATTACTTGTATACAACAAACCTATGAAAATGCACAGGTGTTATTTTCCCATAATTTCTCAAAAGAATGTGTGTGTGTGTGTCAATCTCACCATTGCTGTATCCCATACTGAGAAGTGAATTAGAGTACATGTTGTGAACTATGGCTGCACTGAAACCGGCCTGCTGTGCATGGAGCACCTATGAGACAAAAACAAAAAACAATATTGCTCACATATTCTGTTATTCATTGTACATTAAACATACCTGTGATCATACAAAGTCACTAACATTGTGATAGCCTTGACACTGGATAACATACCCTTATGAAAAAGAACTGTGCTTCATTGTACTGAATGTGCATTTAAGATTTATTTTATTTTGTAAATTTAAATTTACTTTCATGACTGTTTCTTTACACACTTAATTACTCTTAAAAATTGCACTTTGTAATAATGTCAAATTAAAGGTTTTGCTTTTTAATCGCTGTTTTAATCTTTAGTCATGCTTCAAAGTACTTATTTTGATGTGTTGACTAACATACTAAATCTTACTAATATGTTTTAAATTAACTACATTGTGTTTTTGACTTTATCATTACAAATGTATAATTACAAATATATTTAAATGCATGACAAGTTTCAATTGAGATTAAAGTAGTTTAGTTTACCATAAATGCTTGTCAGTACAATAGGCAGCAACCATGTTAATCGTAAGACAATAGAAGTACTTATGAAATTACACAAAGATGCACTTAAGTCCTACTTAAGTGAGTCAGAAAGCATGGACTAAGTGGACGAAACCATTACATTTACATCACACTTAAGTATATTCTTTTAAAGTATATTATTTCCATAATAAGTATGCAGTCATACGTTTTTTATAAGCATGCCAAATTGTACTTCTTTTTTCACATTGTCTTTTGTCACATGCTTTTTTAGTTGTATATATATTCTTGTCAGTTGACCATATTACTTTACACTTCAACTTTTATAGCCCGTATTTTGCTATCTATTGGAATAGCACAGCTGTGCAAGAACATTAACCTTGATATCAAAGTTACAGTCATAGCGTCGAATAAGGACAATGTATTTTGTAGTGCTGTTGGGATCGGAGGGTGTGGGAGAAACAGGAGGAGGATCTATAGGTGTGCAAGCATTTTGAGGATGAGCTTCAACCAGCACACCCTGGAAGAGAAAGAACAAAATAGAAAGAAGTTAGTCACTCATATGCAGTTACTTAATTTACTGGCCAAAACTACAAGTCTAGCAGTAGAGATTCATTACCATGAGTCCCTCTTTTGGCAGAGTAGGGCCAAAGAGAGCAGGCAGATCCTCAAATAGCATGGAGGTCATGTTACTGTAATGCTGCATGGAATAGAAAACAGGCCATTAGCAGCTGCAGTATAAAGCCATTATAAAGCAATCAATTGCTTCACATTATAACATTTATATTGACTGTTGAAAGGTAAAGTGTGTAGATTTGGTGCAACCAAATACCCAACAAATGTACTGTACCATAAAACCAATGAAAGCCTGAAAGCAGACACTTACAGCATATATATATGCCTGACCAGGAGACGGCGCCATAGTGCAGAATAAGACTAGCACCGATACGCCCAGCTGCGCCCCAACATACACCATCCTGAATTAGGCTGGGCCACTGATGAGGGCAATCAAGACCTGCATACAGACGCATGATTTTACAATCTTCAACATTTTCAGTGTGACAATTCAAAAAGAATTTTGACAAAAGTATACAAGAGACAGTTCAATCTCTTCACTACATGAATCCCTTTTTATTTACAGATTTATTTAACTTTATAATAGTCCTAACTGTTGACTTACAAATCGATTCTAAGAAAGCACAACTCATGATTAATCATTTCTCCCCTCAAGATGTAGTCACGATTATCAACGGTTTTGTACATGGCCTGCAGACTGGTGAGCAACGGCTGATCTGTCATGTGCGAACACCAAAAAAATCTATAATCATGCAGTGACCTACTAATAAGCTTTTAAAGATCCAATGAAACAGAAGTAGCCACATATCTTTTCTTTCACATTTGTGACTTACATCCGAGTGTAGCAGATTATCGAAAAAAAATGTAGGTCGGGAGTTGGCTCTATATGCTGGTTGTTGATTGGCTTGTGAAATGTGGGCGGGACACTCATCTTGCAGTTTTAAAAATAAATAAATAAATAAATAAATAAAAATTTTGTTATTAATTACACACCCTCATGTTGTTCCAAAACCTTAAAATCTTTATTTATCTTCGGAAAACAAATTAAGATTTTTTGTTTTATTAAATCCGAGAGCATTCTGACCCTGCATAGACAGCAACGTAACTACCACGTTCAAGGCCCAGAAAGATAGTAAGACGATTGTTAAAATAGTCCAGTGACTTTTTTCAACAAAATTAAAAAAAAACAAAGAAATTATAAGTCATAAATATTAGTACTGTAATTTTACAGCTGAAATGTAAAACAGGATTATTGTTATATTATTTTTAAATAGTATTTTATATTTATTAAATATTTTGAAGATTTTGAAGGTAACCAAACAGTTGATGACAGCCATTGACCAGAGTATATTTTTTTCATACTATGTAAGTCAATGGCTAACGTCAACTGTTTGGTTATTCTTCAAAATATCTTCTGTGTTCAGGACCAACTCCAGGGTGAGTAAATGATGACAGAATTTTCATTTGTTGGTAAACTATTACTTAAAGGGATAGTTCACCCAAAAATTCTGTCATTAATTACTCACCCTCATGTCATTCCAAACCTGTTAGACGTTCGTTCATCTTCGGAACACAAATTAAGATATTTTTGATGGAATCTGAGAGCTCTCAGAACCTCCAGCGCGCTTTTTACTGAACATAAACAATGCTCATTACATTGATTACGTTCTGGTGTACTCTCCAAAATGGCGGAAGACGGTAACTCGAGGAGAAGAACTGCTGAATAAATTAAGTTATTATTGTTTTCTTTGCGCACAAAAAGTATTCTCCTAGCTTCATAAAATTACGGTTGAACCCCTGATGTCCCATGGACTATTTTACCGATGTCCTTGCTACGTTTCTGTGCATTGATCGTGTTAATTACATAGCTGTCTATGGGAGGGTAAGAGAGCTCTCAGATTTCATCAAAAATATCTTAATTTGTGTTCCGAAGATGAACGACATGAGGTTGAGTAATTAATGACAACATTTTCTTTTTGGGTGAACTAACCCTTTAAGAGCTTCTTTAAAATGAACCACTTTTAATATGAATGCATCAAATCAAGTCATTCTGAGAATTCCAGTTTACTCATCTTTCCAATAAATAATTAACCCTGACCATAAAATGTACTGAGCACATTCAGCGATTTCAAGTGGTACTAAACTGGGAAACTGCGGTTTACATGAGTCATCAACAACCAATAAGGAAGTAAAACTACTTCAGAAAAGTCTGTCTAGTTCAAATTGTGTTAACCTCGATCAAGCAGAACACTTTTATTGGGTTTATTTCATAAACTCTCCCTGTAGCGAATTGGTGAAATGACAAAAAGAGCATTCATTTCAATGTAATTCATTTCAAGAAAAACAAAACAATAGATAACACATGCATCACAAGGTGTGTCTAAAAGTCATCCAACGTGTTTTGTAGATTTGCAAATGGGAAGTTTTGGTTCCTTATTATCATGGCCAGATCAAATGCGGAGACTTTCTCAACAGGAACTGTGTAATTATCACTTTAAACTAGTCTTGGCCTACTTATAAAAGGGTCATGAAAAGAAGAATCTAAATGTTCTTGATATTTACACATAGAAGAGGCTACTCTGCAATAAAAAAAAAAACATACTGCAAGTTTCAGAACTCAAAACTAACTCTAAATATTAATTATTGTTTGAAATATGGTAGAATTGTGATGTCACAAATTTGAGATATTGAACCTACATAGATTCCCTAAAGATCTGAGCATTAGAAATGCAGGGCTGGAGTTCACATTTCACAACGGTCGTTTACTGTCACTGTCTTTTAAGAAATATGTTAACAGTTATGTTTATACTGTTTTGCATTGCAAATGATTGTGTTGTTTCAGTTTTTTATGACTCGCGCTCAAACATTCACAGCTCTATCACAGTGCTTGCCATCTCAAGCATCAAAACACACAACATGCTAAAAAAAAACATACTGCAAGTTTCAGAACTCAAAACTAACTCTAAATATTAATTATTGTTTGAAATATGGTAGAATTGTGATGTCACAAATTTGAGATATTGTTCTGTCTGTTAGTGGATGTAAAGATCTCCAGGAAACCTACATAGATTCCCTAAAGATCTGAGCATTAGAAATGCAGGGCTGGAGTTCACATTTCACAACGGTCGTTTACTGTCACTGTCTTTTAAGAAATATGTTAACAGTTATGTTTATACTGTTTTGCATTGCAAATGATTGTGTTGTTTCAGTTTTTTATGACTCGCGCTCAAACATTCACAGCTCTATCACAGTGCTTGCCATCTCAAGCATCAAAACACACAACATGCTGTAAAGGAGGCCGTGGAAAGTGTGAAATAAATAAAATTAGCCAATCACAGCAATGCATGCTTATTTACACTTCTATTACCATTTCAAGGTAATGCCCCATCAAATTGAGCGTTTTCCACAGAGTGATAACTAGGACGGAAAATGATAATTTTTACAAATACTGGACCTTTTTTGGTGAGAAAAAACTTTTGCTAAATAAACTAACCTCCAGAAACATAACATAAAAAAGCCTGAAACTGCATTTCATGACCACTTTAACCTCAGCCTGAGAAACAGATTAAACTGCAAAGCACTATGCTTAACAGCTGATTTACATGTTCTTGAATACAGGGTTATGAGGACGCACGTCTTAATAACATGGGTATTACAACATAAACATGGTTTATGACCACCCTTACCGTGTCCTTCTAAAACAAAAGGCTTAAAAACCATACTAAGTGGCGTTTCTTTTAAATTAACATTGCCAGTAGTTTTGTGTGAACATAACCAACATCGGTCCTGGAGAGCCACTGTGACAGTCCACAGCAATGCATGCTTATTTCCACTTCTATTACCATTTCAAGGTAATGCCCCATCAAATTGAGCGTTTTCCACAGAGTGATAACAAGGACGGAAAATGATAATTTTTTACAAATACTGGACCTTTTTTGGTGAGAAAAAACTTTTGCTAAATAAACTAACCTCCAGAAACATAACATAAAAAAGCCTGAAACTGCATTTCATGACCACTTTAACCTCAGCCTGAGAAACAGATTAAACTGCAAAGCACTATGCTTAACAGCTGATTTACATGTTCTTGAATACAGGGTTATGAGGACGCACGTCTTAATAACATGGGTATTACAACATAAACATGGTTTATGACCACCCTTACCGTGTCCTTCTAAAACAAAAGGCTTAAAAACCATACTAAGTGGCGTTTCTTTTAAATTAACATTGCCAGTAGTTTTGTGTGAACATAACCAACATCGGTCCTGGAGAGCCACTGTGACAGTCCTGCAGTTTTGATCCAGCGTTGATAAAAACTCACCTTTAGTAACACTTACACCTTGATTAGCTGGTTCAGGTGTACCTGAATAGGGTTGGAGTGAAACTCTGCAAGACTGCGGCTTTTCAGGACCAACGTTGGCCAACCCTGGTTTAGGGTAGGGGGATAGAAAATACAGTTTGTACAGTATAAAAACCCTTACGTATGGAGAATCCCCATAAATCATGTGCACAAGTATGTGTGTGTATTTTAGCCAAGTTTCTACAGAAAACAACAAGAAAGGAAGCATATTTCCCAGCTATGATTCTGTCACTGTAAACATTCAGTCTGTCGATATTGTCAAGAGATACAATTCAACAGGACAGGTTAGTCTAGTATTCGGCCATTTGGAGATTCTAGTCACCAGCCAATAACTAAGAGCTCTTAGCCATTTAAGAGTAGTCGTATTTCATTTACATGTAAGTTTGCTATCCAATCATGATAAATCATTAGATACTTAGTACTTCAAAAATAATACATGTGCGAAGAACATGGTCATTTTCTATTAGTGTTACTGTTGACTCTCTTAGGAACTTCGTGTATTGTGTGTGTATGTGTTGCAACGCATTGTTGTTATTCATTATTCTAGATTTCTCCACAAACATGGAACGAACATTTTTGTTTACAAAATGAAGGGCAAAGGATGCGCATTGGGTATGATATTACTGATGATTTGCGTATTTTACTGGCAAATCCTAGATAATTCTAGGAAATAGAAAAACAAAATTGTACTTTTTTCGTTATGTATGGACAATACACAGACTTTACAACAACTGCTACTTTTTAAGCCCACTTCTATCGTTAATTCTTTACTGACGCAGACAAACACACAACAAATCAGGCCTAAACAAAATCCCAAAACTCCTCACTGGTGACTATGATAATGAACGAAATACAATCATTCATCAGAAATTGATCATCCCCGCCTTGGAGCTGCTACTTCCCGATCCCTGTTGTCTCATGGAAGATAATATTTCCGAAAACCCAAATTATATCCCAAGTGTACAAACAATTCAAATTAAACAATGGCAAGGAGTCGGTTAAAATGTAATTGAGATGTCTGTAATTCTTTACTCACTGTACAAGCGACTGCCAGCTAACGTTAGCTGGCTTATCACTCGTATTCCAGCTAATGTCCCCCAGTCGCGTCTTCGCTTTGACTCGGCTAAAATCGTTGTAACAAGGCGTTTTTCTCCCAAAAATGCTTTCTCGAAGCTTACAGCTCATGGATCCGTGTCAGTTTCTCGACGAACTGGCCTGGTTCGCCCCTTAGTGGAACTACGATCACACGTTTGTTTACAATTCTGCAAGGCCAACGGGAAGTGCGAGAACTGCAATTATCGCGAGATATGTTCGAGTTTCCCAAAGGTTCGTGGATCCATCTGGAGATTCATGAAGGAACTGCAGGGGCTGATGGCCACCAAGGTGAAATTAATTCAAATAAACTGAAAAATAAATGTACAAATGTTTTTTAATAGGATAAGTTTTAAAAATTAAAATAAATGTAATATAACAAGCTGATAAAAATTCAATCGATAAACAGAAATAAGTGTTTTGAATTATTGTAGGAAAGAAAATTATAAAATAAATAGGGCATGGGTTAAACATTGCAATAAATGTTTATAATACAAGAAGTTAATGAAAATATCAATGCCAAACTAAGTAAAAAATATATATATATCTATATATATATATATAAAATAAATAAATGTAAAAAAAAACCTATAAAAAATAAAAAATTCTATGACACTGAAATCTATGACACCACACAATTTTATTTGTTTGATCCATCTAGTCCATATACACAAGGACATAATGATTCACAGCTCAGAATGATAAGCCAGCGTAAACGGACAAAATGTGTTAGCTTTGGATGAGATGATATATATATATGCTTATTAGAACTAAAAAAACAAACTGCATACAACACCTGTACATAAAAGGTACAAGGAGCACTTAAAATAGTCCTCAACCAAATTTATTTAAACAAAGCAAATAAACAGTAACGAGAAACAACTACTAGTTTAAGGACATACTGCTTAATGACTTAAAATGAACATTAAAACAGTCATGGAGTCAAACATACCTACCACAGTTATATCAAGACAATAAATATGACTGTTTTAAGCAATTTATGCAAATGAAAGCTATTCTAAGACCAAATGTGACTTTACTTTAAAAAGAGCCATTATATCACCATGCCAAACTACAAAGGAATTTTCAATATTAAACACCACGTTTCTGTTTATTCTAATAATGAAGTCTAAAAACACATTATTTGGGACAGTAATATAGAGGTGAAAGCATTTTAGGACAGTGCGGTTATCCTGCAGCAGTTTTAAACTGCCTTTATGTGCATGACAATTCATCTTTATCAAACCCTGCTGTTCATGTAAAACATTGTTATAGGAGTAAAATACTGTTTAAATCACTCTTCTGTTCTGCATAACAACCGATCATATACACACACCGCTCTCACACACTGCTGCCGCTGCCAGTCGCTTCCTCCTCGCCTTTCTTCAGTCTTTTTTTGGCTCGGATCTCGTTCATGGCTTCCTCAATGGAGCGAGTGTCTCTCTTATTGGCCACAGGGACTGTAACAACAAGACAACAAACACGATTCGAAAAATCAAAAGGCAAAAGCTGCGTCCTCCGGAGGTCGCATAGAAAGAAATTACAGTATTTTACACCTCACGAGGAGTAACGGCCAATTTTACTACCATTACTTTTCTTAAATGTGACCCTGGACCCCAAAACCAGTCTTAAGTGTCAATTTTTAAAAATTGAGATTTATACATCTAAAAGCTGAATAAATAATTTTCCATTGATGTATGGTTTGTTAGGATAGGACAAAATTTGGTCGAGATACAACTACTTGAATATCTGGTATCTGAGGGTGCAAAAAATCTAAATATTGAGAAAATCGCCTTTATAGTTATCCAAATGAAGTCCTTAGCAATGCATATTACTAATCAAATTAAGTTTTGATATATATTTTTTTGATAGAAATTTACAAAACATCTTCAAGGAACATGATCTTTACTTAATAACCTAATGATTTTTGGCATAAAAGAAAAATATATAATTTTGACCCATACAATGTATTTTTGGCTATTGCTAAAAACATACCCCAGCGACTTAAGACTGGTTTTGTGGTCCAGGGTCACAAATGAGACGTAGTTCTTTTTTTTTCCCCCAGATCCCATTTTCACTATCCTGTTGCAAAAAGTAATGCTTTTTTCCTTTGGTGTTTTTCCTGTTTGACTTTATAGTCCTTTATGCTACTAAATATGTATGCCTTTGTTCATTTAATAATTTTTTAGGGGATACAATCTGGACGATTGATCCCCCCCTCCCCCGCATGATTCAGATTTGAAGTGATTTTACTAAGTGTGCAGTTCCTTTAATTATACTCACCACAGCCATATGCCCGGTTAGCTTGAAGCGTGTGGGCGGCATCTTTAGCAGCAGATGTTCCAATCAGATGGCTGTATTTGTCTCTGTAGTTTGAATTGGGTGACGCAGGCCTCTTCTGAGTGCGACTGGCCTTTTCCATCTCCAGTGCAGCCTGTTCCTGAAGAGTGCAGTGAAACAAATACCCAAATTAAATATGGTGTTCCAAGTAGTAAAATAAAAGATATCCAATTAGGCAGACATGAACCAACAGAAAGCTCTCCTAGATTATGAAATGACTTTCTCTCCTTATCTTACTTCTTTGAGGTTTTGAACAGGTTCTTGCACAGCATTCAGGATCTTACCTTTAGCCGACGTCTCTCCTCTGCTTTCTGCGGGTCCCACTCCTCACCCTTCCGATAAGCCTCCAGTTCTTCATCTGATGGCGCAAACTCCTTCATAACAAAACACACACTCAATCAAACACACTAAGCATTAATGCAGAGAACACCACAGGCCAGAGGACAACTGGTCCTCTGAATGAGTCTGGCTTCTCCTGTTGTTTTTTCCTCTATTTCTTGGATCACCTTTTGGCTTGCTCAGTTGGGGTTTAAAAGACCACTGATACTTAGTAACATTATCTATTTGACCACTCTCATGAACGCGCGTCAAAGACTGATGCGGAAGAGAAGAAATTGTTGAATAAAGTCATTATTTTGGTTTCTTTGCGCACAAAAAGTATTCTCGTAACTTCATGAAAATTAAGGTTGAACCACTTTTGTCACATGGACTATTTTAACGATGTCCTTGCTAACTTTCTGGGCCTTGAATGTGGTAGCTGCATTGCTGTCTATACAGGGTCAGCTCTTGGATTTCATAAAAAATATCTTAATTTGTGTTCCAAAGATGAAAAAAGGTCTTACGGGTTTGGAACGACATTGTGCTGTTTATTACTGCCAAGCTGCTTTGGAACAATCTGTATTATATAAAGTGCTATATAAATAAATAAGACAACAGAATGAAAACGTTTCATTATACAGAATACTAAACACAAGGAAACACGTTTACAAAGATCCTTGTGAGAGGTAATTGCACAATACATACACTAACCTTTTTAAACAGCATGACATATCTGCCCTCTTCATCCTCACCGAAAGAAAATGATGATAGTCCAGCCACCTCAGCCACATCATGCCTAAGAGAGATGGAAGCGTTTAGCATGAACTGTATGCTATGCAGGAAAACAGGTAGTCCTGCCTAAAACTCATGCCACTGGTTAAACCAGTAGTTGAAAGAGAGCAGTGGCATACTTATAGTCAGGGGTGCACATAAGTTTTTCAGCCTGGTTCTCATAAGAGAACTTGGAGATTTGGTTTGGTCCTCACACTGCACACAGTGTGACCTAGTGTGACCCATTAAATATAACTATAAAAAAATAAATTAATAATAGTGATAATATTATTGCACTTTATTTAGTGCATTCTAAAATGGTAATTGTGCATTAACAGCTGTCATCCACGTCGGTAGGCAAATACGCTGTCAGAACTTATTTATACAGCGCATTTTTTATTTTGGTCGCGCATGTGGACCTGCAGACCCCTTATGTGCACCCCTGCTTATAGTAATCTTTTAATATTAAACTAGAATAGCAGTATGTATTTAAAATAAACATATTCTAACATTAATTCCATTGCACTTTTGTAAACCACAGCTGATAATGGTATTCTGGAGAACATCAAATTTAACCTAAACCCAGACAGACATTGAACTTGACAATCTGAAATCTCTCTAATATAAGACGGTGTTGAACTCACAATATGCTTCTCTCGATCTTGCCCATTGGGTCATATTTCTTCTTCTTCAGTGTGCTGTCCTGAATGAACTCGGACACCTCCTTCTCCATCTAAATGGAAAACCACACTGAGTTTCAGAAACAAAAACTCACTATGTCATAAGATCATGTTTATGCGGGACAAATAAAGTCATAAGTTATACCTTTTTCCTAAACTCTGCTTTCTTTCTCTTCTCATCCTCCTCAATCTTCTTCAGTCTGGCAGCTTGTTCTGCACAGTTACAGTAAGAGCAGGAGAGGAATCAGAATAGACAATAAAACAACAAAAATGTCTTAAGTGCCACATGTATGTGAACTGTCAGTGGAAAAATCAAATAAATACATTAGCATTGTTTATGACAATGCTGTTGCTGCAGTAAAGCTCAGCTATTATTGCATGACAGGCATCTGGGTGTAGCTTCCTCCTGTTTTCCTCATTTCGAAAGTCATTTGCATAAAAGCATGTGTGCTTCAACACAAAGCACGGCCTATTCATGAAGCAATTTAATAAATTACATGTATAAGAAGAGATAAACAAACCAACTATGACGTCTAGAGGCTTTTCAACGGCAAACGTGCAGAAACGTGACGTATGTACGTGCATCTATCATTTCTCCGGCGGTGATTGGCTCTTTTTATTACAGCGTTAGTATCGCAGAGGGCACTCGGATATTTCTCAAGTTTCACTTGGAAACCTACAAGCACGCCCAGGTTCATTTTCCGGACTGTAAGGAAGTGTATTTGTAGGATTAAAACTTTCTACCTCTAGCTTTCCGTCGGCTTTCTTGGTCGTGAACGGTTGGAGGCTTTTCCATCGAGCTCAAGATCGAGCCCAGGAGGTCCGCCATCTTTGGACTGTCTAATTTTCACCGGAAGCTCGCTGCATGGCATGCTGCATTCTTGAAATGGCATTATGGGTAATGTCGTCCAACCACAGGCTTTCACAATGACGCTCGCTGTTTTTTGATTAGTTTGATCTTTACATATTATGTCATATGGTCGACATTGAAGCGTCTGAATCTAAATAAATGCCGGTGTACGATTATCAAAGAGCAGTGTCTTTGCATAGAAGTGCAGATGTTTGCCACAGGTTTTATTACCACGCAGGAATCTAT